ATCCACAGCATATCAATGTAACACATTTTATCCTAATATTTTCAAGAGACATTCTTTGCAATACCTGAAATAAAATTTCCTCCTTCCAATTCAACTCTACTAGAGTTTTTGTTTTATTTTGATTACCAGAGCCCTATATCAATACATATTACAGGGGAAAATAGACATATGAGGCTATATTTCTCAGCAATTTTTCTCATCTTCCATTGCAACTGTATTTTATAACAGTTTTTACTTTGCTGCTTGACAAATTTAGTGTTACTCTATTCTAGACTCTTATGATTTAGGTAATGTCCAACTCACACATGAATTCATCAATCCTTTGCTGAGTGCAACTAAACTCTCACAAGGGGAAGAGTGGAGGGAACTTTTTATTCACAGGGCACCCCTTGAGTTTGGGTTTACTAAAACACTCATGCGTGCTTCAAGATATTTCAGTGACATTTAATTGAAACCATCATAAGACGACTTAAAAGAAAATGCCACGGCCGGGCGCAGTGGCTTATGCCTGTAATCCCAGTACTTAGGGAGGCTGAGCGGTGCGGCATCAACGAGTCAGGAAGATCGAGACCCATCCTGGCTAATATGGTGAACTCCCCATCTCTATTTCAAAATACAAAAAATTAGCCAGACGTGGTGTGTGTGCCTGTAGTCCCCCAGCTACTGGAGGCGTCGGAGGCAGGAGAATGCCGGTGAACAGGAGCCAGAGCTTTGCAGTGAGCCCGAAGATCACGTCACTGCACTCCAGCCTGGCAACAGTGGCGAGAACTCCGTCTCCAAAAAAAAAAAAACGAACAAACGGAAATGTCCGTACACACAGCTGAGAAGCTAAATAGCTTTCTTAGTAAACCCACAACTGAGAGATTGCATACAACAGCCAGACGCCTACATCCTTCGCAGATTCTACACCGGAGAAATCCAAGGAACAATTGTTTTCTCTGCATTTCTGGGCAACCACAACACAAACTACTACAAACAAATGTGCCTCGTAACCTAATGCGCCGACTAACAGACCTCCATAAAAGGCCCAATCTTTATATCCCCTGGTTGTCCTATACACATTCATGCACCTTGGGGCCTTAGGTTCCATTCAGGGGTATTTGGCTTGACCACGGGACATTTTTACCAAGATGTCTTATACAACTCCATAGCTCTCTCATTTATCACTACTCTTCAAGACTGAGACCTTGGCAGCTGTATTAGTAAAAACTTCAGCATACAGACAAAGGGCAAAGAAATCGACTAAGTAAATAAATTAAAAAAAACAAAACAAAAACAGCGGCCAGGCGCAGTGCCTACACACCCGTAATCCCAACACTTGGGGGCTCAGACAATGGATACCTCCAGGGGTCAGCAAAGTCAAAGACCAGCCCGGCGGCCCAACATGGTGAAACTCAGTTCTCTACTAAGAAGTACAAAAATCTCAGCCCAGCCGATGGGTGTCTGCACACCGTAATCCCACGCGCTCGGAGAGGCTGAGGCAGGAGAATTCTTGCGAACCGGAGGTGGCGGTAGCAGTCGCCCAAGGATCCTCACCATTGGATCTCCAGCCTGGAGACAGAGTGAGCTCTGTCCTCAAAAAAAAAAATAAAGAAAGCAAAGAGAGAAAGAGAGAGAGAGAGAGAGAGAGAAAGAGAGAAAGAGAGAGAGAGAGAGAGAGAGAGAGAAAGAGAGAAAGAGAGAAAGAGAGAAAGAAAGAAAGAGAAAGAAAGAAAGAAAGGAAGGAAGGAAGAAAGGAAATCCTATGCAAGTCTAGTGCTTACTCATAAAATACCTATTTCCAATTCAAAACTCTCAGTCAGTTTTCTGTTTTTAAACCATTGTCATGCATACGCAAATGTGAAAATCAGCGATGGGCTGGAAGATTGGCCAATCTTAACTAAGGAAAAACTTATACTAAAAGCATTTGTGTGAACGTCATATTCATTTGCAAAGCTATTTGGCATAAAATAAGAGTTAGACAAATTACAAAAGAAAATATCTATTAGAAGTCACAGGTTTCAACACAGAAGATTTTAGTAGCACAAATGTAACTAATTAATAACATCTGAAGTACACTCTCCCACAGGACTGCTGACCATCTGGTTGACCTTGCCCTAGATCAACAGGGAAGGCGAATCTGTAAATCACTGTTTTACAAATGTTATCACTCCATTATTTCACCACAAGAAAAAGGGATGGAACATGAATGGGAGAAGAGACTCATGGTTCTACACACCTTAAAATTGACTATAATGCTTATGGCACCTGAAGTAACACAAGACTGAGTGGTTTCTTCTCAGGTTCCACCCAGAGAGAGACAGGCAGAGGACCAAGTTATAATGATGGAGAAGAATTCAAGACAAAAGAGCCAGTAGGTAAAGTAATTACGAGAGAATCTACAGGTACTTAGAGATATAAAACATGACCTCTGTCTGATAGAACTTGAAACTATCTGAATTTCCGCAAAACACCTTTCCAGTTGCTGATTTTTTTATTGGAAAACAGTAATAGAAATTTAGAAAAATGAAGTAAAAGTATATGTCATAAGTATTTAAATACACATTCTTAAATATGTTAACCTCATACAAAGCTCTATATTTTGATGTTGAGAATAAACTACTTTGGAGGAAACTTAAAAACCTACTTGGTACAATAAGATGAGTCATCATTTGACTAACAAGAAACTTGAAATAATAATAAATTTGGAGCAGGCATGTCAAGCAGGTACACTGTGAAATCTCCTAAGAAAACTGTATTGTACCAAGGTTTAAAATTTGTACATTTTGACAACTATTTTTGCCTGATACTTTTCATATACCTTGCCTATGTAGTTCATTATAGGAATGTTTAAAACTATTGAGCTAGAAATTGTGGAATTTTATTAGATGTATTTTTACTGTTGATACATCTCTTTTAAACAGTATTGAAAATAAGTGATTTTCTCTCTCTCATTATTTGCTCTGTTTTTCTCTCACTTCCTAAGAGTACCAGTAATACACTGGAGAAGAACAAAATATCAGGAATTATAGAACTTTGAGATCAACAACTCACATGTCATATTCTACATAAGTTTCAAGTTAAGGCAAGTCTTATTCTGCAAGAATCTGTTTTGGGTTTGAGGGCATTTAAAATATTAGGCATATTTTTTTTAAATCTCATCATTACTTCTAGTCACCGTATAGCAGAGCTGTCACTGTCTTACACAGTTCTGAAGTTTGGTTCTAAAAGATTATACTATGTAATTTCCTTCTGTAAAATAAGAATTCTAATTTCCTTTTCAAATGCAGAATTGGTTCATTATCTCTAGTGACATCCTTTTTGTTAATATTTACATTAGTTTGGATTAATTTTCATGTAATGGAAAAGAGAGCAGGTAGAGACCTCTATTAGATCACTCCATCTCTATATACACTAGGAAAAATATAGAAAATAGAGGGGAAATTGCACTACTTCTTAATGCCCTTTCTCTTTTATTTGAAAAGGTATTTCATAGTTCTCAATTTGGGAGAAAAAGTGTGGGTAGTACATAAGATGCTTTAGTAATTAAGGGGCTAAAAAGGATACTTCAAAGGGTCTGTCTTTCCATTCTTCACAACTTAACTGCATAGCTATGGGTTTTAAGGGGAAATGCCTGGCATGGAGGCTAAGGAAGCAATTAGAAGCTCACACATTCTAAGTTCCAAATATGGCTCCTTTGGTGCTTATGACAACTGTGGGGAAAGCACTGGTGACTTAAAAAGAAAAAAAAGGACAGCCATTTGACTGGTAAGTGTCAGTCATTCTGCTATTTGAAATTTGAGGCCGAGCGTGGTGGTTCACACCTGTAATCTCAGCACTTTGGGAGGTCGAGGCAGGCGGATCACAAGGTCAGGAGGTCGAGACCATCCTGGCCAACATGGCGAAACGCCGTCTCTACTAAAAATACAAAAATTAGCTCGGTGTGGTGGCACACGCCTGTAATCCCAGCTACTGGGGAGGCTGAGGAAGGAGAATGGCTTGAACCTGGGAGGTGGAGATTGCAGTGAGCCGAGATCATGCCACTACACTCTGGCCTGGTGACAGAGTGAGATTCTGTCTCAAAAAAAAAAAAAAAGGAATTTGAAACCACAAAGAGTTTCAGAGACACTCTGCTATAGGAAGGTCTGAGAGTATATTGTTTATCAAATGAAAGAAAAATATTTGAAATGACACTAAAGTTTATGCAGAGTTGAAAGAAGTAATAAAATTATAAATGACCTTGATTGGCAGGATGGTGTTCCTCATCCATGTCTTGCTCCATCTGTCCAATTAGTATGGGTTACTTGACTAACCAAATTCATTCATCTGTAAGTTCTTTGAACTATATACATTAAAGCTCATGCAAACCATTCCCGCAAAAGACCTTGCACCTTTTATGTATGTGAAAATCTGAAATCACACCCATTTCCCTAAGCTTCTGAGGACATTTGTATACAACAACAATCAAAAGCATATTTCCAATTATTCTTTTAGGTCCTTTTAAATTAATTAGGGGCCAACTATGCCAATCTCAGGAAATCCTTGTGGAAAAAGAAAAAACACCATTAGAACAACACACGGAGTAACCAGTTTTGAGACTAATGCCCAAAAAATTAATTGGGAGAATTTTTTAGTAATTGAACCCGCATAGCTCTTTCTGCTGCTCAGGATTAGCACAAAGGGGCAATTTCTTAACATTACCAGGTGAACAGTAAGATCAAAGATGCTAGGCTTTGAGCTCGTGCCCATCTCCTCCATGAGTACACAGGCAAGCACAGAAGAATTATTTTATAAAAAGCAACATATACTATAAGCATTTTCATAAATATTGCCTCAGATCCAACAGAGGGTTTTTGTCTATTAACCAATCATTTAAAATAGCTACTGTCCTCCAAAAAGCAGCCCAAAATATTTTTAAAATATCCAGTAATATTTTATACTCTTAATTTTTGAATCTGGATAAGGAAGAAAACAAAACTTAAAATAACATTTTTTCCCAGGGTGTTTATCAACTCTCTTACCATCAAATGTTAAATAAACTCTTGCTTGAGGCTGGGAAGATCCTTTTACAAAGATAGAACAAATAAATACTCCAACCAACACGCAAATTTTCCGGAATGCCATTTCTTCAGATATGTAAGTTAATCTCCAAGGGAAAATACCTTTAAGAGAGAGATAACAGGTTTGTTATATCTCATTTCACATTTTAGGAGTAGAAAAAAAACAGCAATCTAGACAAAACACCCTATTCACAAAAGAACCATCTGAACTTTTACAGTAATGCCAACAGTAGGAGGTGCTCTGTCTTTGCTTCTCAGACGTGAAAATGTGGATTTCATTCATTTGTGTGGGGAAGTCTTTCCAACAAGAGAAACTTTCGTCTTCCAGTAAACTGATGATACCATCAAAACAGAACAAAGCAGCGAGGAAAAACACTGATACCCAAAGGAAAGCCCAATATTTTAACGGGTCTTCTCTCTAGAAATCCATCACATTAAAAAGACTTGAATAGCATTGTGCTAATAGACTATGACTGGATGAGAACTCTTTCTCCAACTAATGTAATAGCAGTAGCAAAATCTCATATGAGCATTCATGTGTACCTACTCACTTCTATAGTCATTAGCTCTTTTGGCGTAATTGTCTCTGAAATGGTGTTTCCTTACATAAATCTATGTGTGCTCAATCCTTGATCACTAAAGTCACTGGAATCAGTTATCTGCCATTTTATCCAGATGACCAACAGGCAGCTGTTAAATGATGCAGATGAGGTAACCACGGACTTGTGCCAAATTCAAACCTAGCGGTGAGCAATCCAGTGAGCCATATATCCACCAATGCATATTTTAAATAAATCCACCAGAAAGTGGGCTGTCAAAATTCTCAAAGATAAATCAAAGAGACAGGTGTCACTGCTTGAAACTATAGATATAAAATTGGTACATGCTATTAACTAATATCCAAATCCCAAGGCCACCAGATAATGTGTTACCATAAACCTACAGGAGCTCTAGTGGCTGCATCATGTAAAATAAACTCAGGAGCATCAAAGAAACACAATCATTTTGCTTCTACCATAATTATACAATAAAATGACCCAACAGTCCAATAAAGAAATTTATTTTTACAGGTTACAACAATGCTGATCTTCATTATTTGGCTTTCAAATTAAAATTTCATAGTCAAAATTATTAATTTCTTTGTAAAAGCCACTAACAACTGAAAAAGACAGCTTCATTAATACAGAATACAAGGAAGAATTAAACGGAATACGCAATTTTAAAGAAAAATTGTAAGTAGATTTCCTAGGTGGTGCATATAAGAGTTAGAAATGAAATTGTACGCTTCTTTTACCACACAGATGGAGGAAACTCTAGAGATGTTTGTGTTGGTAATTTTCAAAAGAAACAGTTTCTTCCTGCTTCTACAACCTCTTCACCCTGTCATCCCTAAATTAACTTAGAAGAAAACTGATTTTATGGGTGACTTTCCCTTAGTAATTTGCCCCCTTGGTTCTGTTGACTTTATAGTTAAAGCCAAAAGAAAAAAGCTATTAATACGCCTAACCTTTGTTATGTTTACTGAGCAAGCTAATATTAAACTTTTTTTTTTTTTTTTGCATATTGGTATCTTACCTTACATGTTTCTCCCAAAGGTACATATACAACCATTTGCAAGGAATACTGGAGACACAATGGCAGGTGAAACATAGTCTACAGGGCAATTTGATTTACATCCTACCTAGTGATGAGGAGTTAGAGACCGAAAGCCAAGTGTCTTAAATATGCCCCCGCCTCCCCAACAGTATCTTACAAGTTCTTCCCTTTAACTCAGACACAGACGTTCCTCTTGGTGTTTTCACTTCTGCTGATCGCAAACTAGTAACACATAAGAAAAGAATTCTCTTATAGCCTCTGGAGCAATTTTGCCTTGGAAGGCACTGTAATACTCAACTTGAAACTCTCCGCAGGTGTCACCGCCTAAAGAAACAACTCGAGCTGGACTCTCAGTAAGGGGAAAGCTTCCCTGACAAACCGCGTGTGCTCTTAAGAAAATGTCCAGGCTTGAGCACACCAATGTATGAAAAGTCAATATACAGGCCAAAAAAGTTATACTTTGCTAAATTTGTAATGCGGAAAACGACCAATTTAGCTTACCGAGGTTGGAAGAAATCAGCACGGAAAAGTCATCAATTTACTACAGGGGTTGGATCCGCTTGTGTCTCCAGTCCTTTTCCCAAACGACCTTATTTTCTAGCACGTCCCAAAGGTGAAATTCTTTCTTCCCGGTCCTCTGAGTTTCTTTGTAAAGGAATCTCAGCACTGCAGTGCCGCGGCACCCGGAGCTCTTCTCCGCGTCGCTCAATCAAGCACCTCGGAGTGAATGGAAAGTGGCCGGACGCCGGGGGCGAGCGCTCTTGGTGTCCGATTACAGCGCCGCGGCGCGCGGCTCCAGCTGCCCCGGCGCGCCGCCCAGCAGGCTCGCATCACCGCCGCGCAGCCCCGGCCGCATCTCCGCCGGCCGCGAAGCCCCACCCCGAGCGCGCCCGCGAGAGCGTGGCAAGGAGCCGCGGGGGCGGGCCGGGCGGGGCAGACCCTTAGAGCCCGCGGCTAGCCAGACGCAAGAATGCGCGGCCGCAGGCTGTGCCCTAGCCCCGAAACTCTGCTCCTTTCGCAGTCCGCGGCGGAGTGAGCAACTTACAGGGTGCGCTCTACGCTTTTTGTTGCCGGCGGCTCTTGGAAGACTCACACAGGCTTTTCCTGGCCGTAAATATCAAAGTGCAAAGCAGTTGTGGTTTTTTTATTTTTTTATTTTTTTGCCAAGGAAGGATCACTGCAGCCTTTTAAGGCAAAGAGATGCGTTTTTAAAAGGACGTGAGTTTTGTCCTTATTCTGCTGCGTGTTTTTGTTGTTTTTTTGTTGTTGTTGTTTTTTTAGAGACGGAGTCTCGCTCTGTCACCAGGCTGGAGTGCAGTGGCGTGATCACGGCTCACTGTAACCTCCGCCTCCCCGGGTTCAAGCGATTCTCCTGCCTCAGCCTCCTGAATAGCTGGGACTACAGGCTCCCACCACCACGCCCAGCTAATTTTTGTGTTTTTAGTAGAGACGGGGTTTCACCATGTTGACCAGGATGGTCTGGATCTCTTGACCTAGTGATCCGCCTGCCTGGGCCTCCCAGAGTGCTAGGATTACAGGCGTGAGCCACCGTGCCTGGCCTCTGCCGAGTATTTTCTGAAACAGGTCAAGATAAACGACCATCTTGTTGCGCAAGTGTATCCTTTTAATGTGTATTGTTTCCTATTGAGTTTCCTTAATGCCCTGAAGGCAGTAATTCTGCTGACCCCTCCACATTGACTCATACCCAGTACGTTTCCCCCCACCATACTCCCAAACCTAATTACACGATGAAATTATTTCACAAGACTGTTCTGAGTTATGCCAACAGATTGCCATAACCACACATCTACAGAAATATATCAGAGGTATATTTCCAGCATTAGTTTCAGGTACACTCGTTAAACTCTGGAACAGACTTTGATGTTTAAGTGAAAATTACTTCTTCGGACCACAATAAACTAGATGTTTAAACATCGGAAGAAATGAGCTTTGATCCCCATAAAACAAGCAGGCACTTGCTTAAAATCACTGTGACCCACAGCCCAGCAGATGTCACTCTACAGAAGGAACGTAGAGTGTAATTTCTCCACCTTATACCTGACAATTTTCTTCACATAATGAAACAGAATCATGAAATTCTTATAAACTGTATCATAGAAAACACCTCTGGGGGTGCAAAGTCATTGCTTGGTGGGAAAGTCGAATGAAATCTCAGGTAGGAGGAAGACGTGAGGGAGACGCGTCTTTTATGTGTCTAGGGCCCACCTCTTGTGTTCAGTAAACATAAATGTGTCTCAGACTCATGCTGCATAGTCAAGAAACGAAGGGATCAAGTCAAATAATGCAAATTTAAGAGTTCAAAATTACTATTCCGGGGCCAATATTATCTCCAAACTTCAAAAACTTAGTATAGTAACAGTTAAAATTATTTTTTTGTGATGATGTGTGAGAAGATCCTTGACATAAATTTGTAATAAGGAATTTAACCCCCCAAAATCTTCCAGTATTAAAATCCAGATGTCAATGTGAATAAGCACTATGAGTGCTTCTCTGAAATACTTCTGAAACTCAGTAAGATCCAGGTTATATGCTCTGCACTATTATCCTCCTACTGATATCTCATTCGGCATTTATATATTAAGCAGGGAGAAGAATAAATCATTAGATGAGCGTGGGGATTACATTATGTAATTATTAATTTAGAAATGAGCTGCTAGAAACTGATCAACACATTCACGTAGGATGGAATTTGTTTATACATTTTAAGTTTGAGAACACCACGATAAAGAGTTGCAAGATGAAATACATCACGTACGGTGTGTTTACAAAGGAGCTTAATTCCAAACTCAATTTACAAACACTAATGAATTAGCTCAATCTGTTACACATTCAGGGGTTTGGAGGCCTTGACAAATAGCTTAGATTTAAATCACAGTCCATGAAATTTGTGCCGAAATTCCCTCAATGTTGCCCAAATAAACCTCTTTTCAATGTGCTCCTGGGATTTAATGGTATTTGCTTAGCTCTGAGACGTTTACAGTTGGCCACACCTCAAAATGAATCATAAAAATACTGATAGGCTTTAGCCAAGATAGATTCAAGCACAAGGACACAGTGCTCATGCTGGCCAGAGACTTAGGCCACAGAATGGAATTTTAACAGTGGTACTAGAAGCCCCTAAGATTAATCTCTGCCCACATTTCCCCACACTGCTTAAAACACCTTGACAAAAAAAGACGTGCCTAAGAAACATTGCTGGGCACTGCCACTTTTTTAAGACGTCAGCTTTGACTGTCCTTACAAGTAGAAAACAACAGCTAATTGAGAACGGTGTTTTTGGTAAGGGGAACACTAAATGGATCTACAGGAGTAATGGCGCAACTAAATTTAGAGAGCACTAATTACAATGTTTGCACCCAGCAAAATGTTTTAGACAAACAGCCAAACTAAAATACTTAGGATCACTTTTATTAAGGTATTTTAGAAATGGTGCAGTATCTTACACACTGAAGTGTCTCTGCCTGCCAAGCTGTAGTGGGCATATTTTTAATATTTTATGTTTTTGATGGTCCTGAGGAATGCTATTTAACTTAAAACTCTAGCACCGATTTTGAGTTACATACTTTTCTTCAGGAGTTTCTGCAGCTATACATTATCTTATTTCAAATTTAAAGAAAACAGATTTTTGTCTATGATACAGATGAGTCATGTAAATAAACTCTACCCTAACCAGAGAATATGAATCCTTCAGAGGTTAAAAATTGTCTTATTATTTAGTCATAACTGATATTTGTAATAGAAAATAGATCGTGTATTTGCCAGGTACTTTGCTTATTATCTGCATAGCATTCTTTAATGAAGTTACAATTTTCCATGAGAGAACGCTGAAAGTTTGCCCAAAGTCAAATGGATAGTAAATATTAGAATAGGAAGAGAAACTCAAGCATGATTGCCTTAATGTCTCATGTTTTTCAATAAGTTTCAATAGCTTTCTCTTACCTTTTTTGCTGAACTTTTTTCTCCTCTTTTCTACTTCCCTGTCTTTCTCCTTTACTCAACTTACATATGCCATCTTTTTAAGTTTCCTGAACTATATCTTTGGAAAGTCTGAACTTCCAATGGTAACTTACTTTATTTACATTAGCCTTATGTCTCCTTGGGTTACATTAGCAGCTCTGAGACCAAGCCGGTCAAACAGGTCTGGTCTAGAAATCTGTGTGTGAAGCTGCTACCTGCACAGCAACTAGGCTTTAATATTTCCTCTATCAAATCATTTCTATTTTTTCAATAGGATGAGTGTATCTCTATTTTCATTCTTAATCCATTGCTAATCTATATTGCTGATTGTTTTTTCTATGTTGATATGTACTACTCTATGCTTCTCAAATTGTAGGGTTCTTGACATTAAACAAAATAAACTGGCAACAGTGGTTTTCTCTGGAGAGGAAAATTGGCTAGAAAGGTTTCACGGTTCACTCTGTTTTACATTTACAATTTTAAACGAGGTGAGTGTATAAGCTATTTCAAAGTTCAAAGTTTAAGTCCTCAATATTTCTTTAAACATATCAAATATATAAAGCGCAATATTTCCCAACTCAACCAAAATAAGAGCATATTGTCTCTAATGTTTATATATTATAATATTGCACTTATAAGGTAGAATAGTAAAGAATTTCAGTAGTAAGAATCCCTTAGTGAATTTACTTCTTTAGTACAAAAATGTCATGTGTGCATGACAAAGGTTGTAAAAGAGTTACGATCGTTTACATTTTCATCACTAGGACAAAATGTAAATTTTCTATTTGTTTTGTCCTTCTTGGAGTATTTCATGTGAAGCCTCAGTGAAGACAGAGTGTATGTATTTGAGATTAACTATATACAACTGCGGTTGCAGAGAATCCCACAATTACTTAATAAATAATGTTGGCTAGTTGAATATATGCACATACATCCACAGTCATGTCTTGAGGAAAGCCAACAGCTTTTATGAATCATATTGGATCCCAAGCTCTCTGTCTCTACACCTGGAAGTACAAAACCACTTCCCATATCTGTTCTCACAGGAGAGCCATGAGAGGCCTGTATAAGTGCCTCTTATTGTCAGATGCATGTAATGAGGCTCAAAAAAAAATAACCAGCTGGAGCAATGAATGCAGGACTGTCAGTTATGGCTAATTGACTCCCATCTACAGCCCTTCGAAATGGGCAAGGGCCTTTCCATGTAATCTTCAAATTTTACTATTGTTATCCTCTTCTTGGACTTTAAATGGTTGACTAGAAAGTGGAATATTAAATTGTGCAAAGAACTTTCATATCCTAGCAGATGCATTCTCATAATGAAAGTCACATGAGAAACCCTGCTGTCTACCAGTGAGTTCCAAGAGGTAGAGGGGGCTGTGTAGGAAATTTGCAAAGAATCAACCACTTATTCAGTTTATTTGATTTATTTTTCGTCATGAGGCTTTGAAATTTTTTTTTTTTGCTTTTAAGTTCAGGGGTACATGTGCAGGTTTGTTATATAGGTAAATTCATGTTAGGGGATTTTTGTTGTACAGGTTATTTCATCAGCTAAGTATTAAGGTTAGTATCCGTTAGTTGTTTTTCCTGATCCTCTCCCTCCTACCATCTTCCATTCTCTGATAGGCCCCAGCATCTGTTGTTCCCCTCTATGCGTCCATGTGTGTTCTCATCATTTGTGGCATTTAACAACTTTAAAGAAGGAGATACAATTTTCATTATTCAACAAATATTACATACTTTAAGATATAAAGCTCTTGGAATATATTTCAATTAAATATTTTTCCTTGATCAGTTTTGTCCACTGCAATGGACTCATTGAACTTTAGACCAGCGGAGTACCAGAAGGAGCAACATGATTTAGAGGGCATGCATTATTAATAGACATTTGAGGAAGTCTATTTCTTTCAATCTCCATAACAGCCCTAAAATAAGAAGATGTAAGTACCTCCATCATGCAAACAAGAAAGCCAGTCAGAAATTTGAGGTGCCTTCCCCTACTTTTGTCCCTAGGCAATAAATTCAGGTCTGCCTGTCCCA